ATCCTGTTGCTCTACATCCATACAGTTCTCACTGACCTCTGAATTACTAATGAAAGAGTAACCTTATAGTTCCTGTTAATTTTGTTTGGGCGAGGCGCTGACAAACCTGTACGTACAGTTTTTCCCCTCCAAAAAATTGCCAGAAAGAAATAATGTCTTATCTACATGCTGCCATGACAAATACATTTCCCAACTTGGGATCAACAAAATCTAATCAATTCCCTTTCCTACATCCATTGATAGGAAGACATGACAGTTTAAAACCTCAACTTGGGCTCTCAGATAAAGGTATTGAAAGTGACTGCAGGATTCCCTTAAATAAATAGACACAATAACATCTAATGGCCAATCCCAAATCAAGATTGTTGACAGGCGTTTTATACGGATTTGATTGGCTTCAACACAGACAGTTTAATTCCTTGTGCAGTGTGGTGCAGATATTCAACACAAGGAGAACATTATTAGTTAAGACTTCGATCTGTTAACCCATAGTCTGTTGATGAAAATGTACATGAGCCAGGTCTTAATAATTACAAGAGTTACCTATTCAGAAAAGGTTGTCTTGATTTGAAAGTGTTGACCTAAAGCAACATCATCAAGTCATTGCTCTGTCATTCCGGCTTGCGTCACGTCTTCTAGCATTTACATTTTTCCTGACAATCGCAACTTGCCGTCATGTCGGTATCATTTTCTGGGACATGAATTTGGTTTGGGTGGTTTCGCTGTGCAAAGCATGTGTGTTTGAATGTTAGATCACAGTTTGCGTTCTGTCTCCTACAAGCTGTTTTTTCCAACCATGAAGATTGATTCTTGATCCCTAACAAAGAAGTTGCCTTATTTAAACATCCTCAGTTACCAGTAAAAAAGGTGTCTGCTAACCAGCATCAATGAACCTTCTGGGTTTGTAGTATACCAACTAAGGCAACAAGCTGGGACCATCTAAAACACAGCATGTTTGTAAATAGTAAATTTACTTTTTTAAAAGTGCTTTACAACTACATCTGCCTGGGGAAACTAATATTAATTGTTGGCCATGCCACTGGCAACTTGGGGTTAAGTATCTTGCCCGAGAACACATCGACTTGTTGACTGCTAGAATCGAACCTCTGATTGGGAGTCGGCCGCACTACCTTGCGGCAACAGTGGCCCTTTTTACGTAGATATTAAGCAGTTATTAAAATCATATATATTTAAGACTTTAATGCACTGTCTGAGAATGAATTCCCAAGGCTTCTACTTATTTAGCCATTGTAGTAGTTGTTTTTCTTTGTTATTGCTGTGAATTAGAGTTAAAGGATAATTGCACAAACCCATCCATTAATCCCACCTTCGGATCGATCTGACCGAAAGAAATAATTGAAATGTACTCATGAACCTAATACTTCAAAAAGCTAATGTCTCCTAGATATACTGCATTCATAATTAGGATTCTAACCAATGTTATCCCTGATATAATTTATCAGTGGATCTCAAATTGGACAATACACATTGTGAAACACAAATGGTATATTGATTCTAATAAAGTCCCTCACTAGAAAATGTTTATTACTCAATAAATCATACATATTGGTCAAATAGTTTTGGGGTTGAACATTCTATTTTATGTATATCTTCGATTCAAATCATTTTGGAAAATGTGGTTCTGCTGCTCTGTACTGTAAAGTGAAGTGTTATTTTTTTCCCAATGCACAATAGAACCTACGTTGTTAACCCCTGTGTATATAGTGTAATGCCTTCAGATAAACCTTTATGGAAGGTCACGCAGGTATGCAGAGAGGCCATGCCTGAATAATTGTAGCCCATATTTATACATCTGTCAAGACACGCGCGCTCACAAAGATTCACATTCCCCAGTTTCAATCATCCATTTTCAACAGGCCTTGGGTGCGCAGGAAATAAATGAAACCACTAAATGCAGCACGTATAGCCTGTACATTTAGAACCTTTTAAACGGATCGCTTTTTTTCCGGGTCGGCAGCAGACCCCCAATGCTGACAGAGCCTGGCTGACTTCCCAGAATAGAACAATATCTGCCAGGTAGGGCGAGGGGCCCAGCAGTCCACACACACACATTTACAGTGGTGTACAAAAACGTCTGGCCTTTAAACCGTCAGCGCTCAGGCCCTGCCTTACATAATGACAGAGAATGGAGGCATTAAGGCAATTTGTTTGATTTAAGTTGTCAAGGCGTCCTGGACCCTGGCCCTCTCAGCTGGTTTTGATACGCAGAGTGTGTGTGTGTGTTGCAAAGTGTGTGTGTGGTGTTTGAAAAACAGGAGGAATGCAGGGACTTGCACACAGACAGCAGGATAGAGCGGGGGTGTCGGTGAGGAAGGTGCTGTAGTAGTAAAAAATGAACTTTATGAGGTCCAGGGAGAGTGAGCATTGACAAAGTAGGAGGAGAAATGTGTAAGGAAGGAAGAGGTGGAGGAGGGGAGGAGGAAGAGCTGAAGGTGGACTAACTTAGAGAGCTGGAGTTACATTATGTCTGTCATATGTGTGAGTGTCCCCTCTCTTCCACTGAACATGAAAGCAGGTACTTTCTGTTTCAGGTTTAGGGGCCAATTTGCGCCGGGAGCACCGGTCCTGAACTCCCTAGCACATTTAGATTTTATTTAAAACTTCTAATCCACATTTAGAAAAAACAAACAAAGTGACAGAAACATTCATGTCACAAAAGCAAGTCCCAACATCTTCAGAATTTCAAGCATACACAAAAAAAAACACCCCAATTGCTGGAGAAGTTTAATGTAAACTTCATGTCAAGGCCTGCAATACACCGCAAATATAAATCCTGGTATCAGGCATCATATCTGGATGGATTCATTTATATAACAAATATTAATGCAACATTTTAAATCACATTTTCTTCACTGTTTGACCTTTTGCCGCAATAAAATAAAAAATAAAATAATCTTCAGTTTTATACCCATGTTTGTGTAAATGATCTTTAATTATCATCAGTATGATCAGTTGAATTCCCACAGATAAATAAAGTGAGAGAGCTGAAAAATAATTGGGAAGGAATTTTGAGGACATATTCGAACTTCCCTGTTCATCGTACAAGATATCTTAAAGGGGACCTATCATGCAAAATGCACTTTGTGCTGTCTTTTATACATAAATATGTGTCCCCGGTGCGTCAGAAAATAAAACCCTCTCTCTTTTCCTCCGTACCCAAATCTTTTAAAAACGGGTGTACAACGAGCGGATACAGATTTCCATCTGCTGTGATGTCAAATCGGCAGCGGACCCACAGAAAGTTGCTTTCAGAAACAATGCCTGACGTGTTTTGGACGTCTTTGTTTACATTAGCAAGCCTCGCTAACACTCAGAGCTAACCTGTACTGGAGAGCACATGTGTTTTTAAAAAGCAGGAAATAAAAAAGGAACTCACCTCGTGATAAACCCGCAAGAGAAAAAGCATTTGAGCTCCATACCGTTTCAGAAATAATCCTTGACGTGGTTTAAACAGGATGGCGTTTTTTTCCCTAACATGGCTTCAAAAGAGGGGTTTGAGCAGTATGAGGGATGGCTACAATGGGTGATCTGTTTGGTATTTTGAAAAAATAACTTCACAGACATGTTTTATATAGGTATGGCCCTACAATATATTTTTCAAATATAGCATGATGGGTCCACTTTAAATAAATAATAATCATCCATTTAGTTATTTTCTGTCATTTTTTTAGGCTTCAGTGTACTGTGATTGTAGATTGGCTTTTACTCCACTGGTATTGCCATTTCAGTGTGCACCTCGTGTGTTTGCTGTAGAAAATTGCATAATGTAACACACAGTGTATGCTGGTGTGTAAAGCGACCCCTCACTTGCCCTTGTAAATGATGGAAATGTAAATGAAAATGCCAGAATGCAAAGTAAAAGCGTGAGTGGAGCGTCACAGGTAATTACGCCGAGCTGTGGAGTGTAATTGAGCCTGATCCAACCTGCTCACTGTGTGTGTCGCTGCATGTGTGTGTATGGACTTTGAGTGGAATAGAGGCCCAGTGTTCTTGGGCCCCAGCTTTAAAGAAGGGGTCTTTATCTGGCCGTGTGTAGAGCGCTGGTGTGGAAGCACTAAAGAGCCGAAGCGTTTCCTCCGTACAGACGAGGCTCATGCCGCTCGCTCCAGGTGTGGTGACCACTAACCAGCACGGCTTTTAACCGTCACACCTGATTTGGAGCCCGAGGCCAAGCTGGCACTCAGACAAGCGCACACAGTTCAAGTGCACGGCGTCACACAGTCGTGCACGCGCACAGACATTTCTAATTTAAACTTAATTCCCCCCCCAAGTGTTTGTTAAGTTCCCCCTCCTCTTGGCCTTCAGCAGTGGATACAGGCATTCTGGGAGTTGGAGTATTTGGTTTGAGGTATGAGCTTTCTGATCAGCTCTGATGGACTCCAGAATCAACACATTCTCCAATTACATTCTGCATTTTTGTCACCCCCCCTGCCTTATTTTATGGTAGTATTGGTGACATTGTGCCAACTGTGTGGCCTTGTAACATTTGTGGAATTTACTTTGCATTGCTTTGTTTTTTTGGGGCGTACTTTAGCAACTCCCTTCATTATTTACAAGTTGATCATATTGCTATGGCCCTATTATGCCGTTAGGGTTTTTTTCCTTCCCTGTATTGTGTTATATAGGTTTGTGCATGTAAATGGTCAGCAAAGGCTAAAATCCCCCAAATCCCTCCATAGGGAGTTTCTCTCCCGCACATTCCCCACATCACAGACAGCCCTTAGAGAACTCACTAGTCTTTTTTCACAGTTTGTTGATCCAGAAACAAAAATGTAATTCCAGACAACTTCAAAACCAACTTGTTAAATATATATAAGTCTCAAGTCAATAGTAAAATACACAATCAAAATCTTATATCTAATTTAGTTTTTCTGTCATTAATTAGAATGAACCCTTTACAGAATTAGTTTTATTGGAAAGGAATTGCGGTCCCTTTTTAATGATTACTTCTCTTTTTGTTCCCTTTCCATCCTGCATAGATCTCCTTTGAGTTGGCTGAATATACCGCTAATGTGGACGGCGTAGGTACGCTTCGTCTCTTGGACGCCGTGAAGACGTGCGGCCTGACCAACACCGTGAAATTCTACCAGGCCTCGACCAGCGAGCTGTTCGGCAAAGTTCAGGAGATCCCTCAGACGGAAACCACGCCCTTCTACCCTCGCTCACCTTACGGTAATACACAAACACTAATGTACACCATGTACTGTTCATCCATGTGGAAACACACACATGGATTACCTAACCTTTCTACCTTGCGCCATTCGTCAAAACCATTGCGTATGGCCATGTACGGGAACAGAGATTGCCTGATTCACTTTCTCCTTGTGAACGTGTGTGTGTGTGTAAGTGAAATAGAGGGTTGCTTCAGTGCTCAGGCAGCGTTCGAGCTCTCCACACACCCCGAGGCCAAAACGTTTGACTGAAGACTGGAGTGGCTCTCACTTTAACAAAGACACCTTTATATCCACGGCACTCGGCACACACTTTCAACGCACGCACGCACGCACACACACATACACACACACACACAGGCTGTACACAGGCTGTACACGTGTGAGAGCGATCAGGTTTCGTGTTCTCTGTTGTCGAAATGCTCTCTTCACTGACACTTTCCCCATCTGTCAGCACTCAATATGTGAGGCTGACATGGGAGGCGCATACCATCATGCGGAGGGCTGCTCCTCTATTAATTAGACTTGGGGCAGGCGGGAGTTTCCATGGTGACCTCCCTTCACCTCCAGTGTACATCCTGACCTACGGCTTAATCAACGGGCGCCTCCCTTTAGCTTTCTATGGTATTCCCCTTCATCAGAGCAGAAGGGAGGAGGAGGAAGATGATGAGGAGAACTTTTTGTACAAGCCTGCTTTCGGTCAATCAGCAGGAGTCTGCAGTACACGTTCCTGATGTCGAAATGTGATCTGCGATACCGCTGTGTTCAACTCTGACACGTAGTGTAGTCTCTTAAAGGGCCTTTCTGCATATTTTGTTTTTCTTACATTGTCAATAAAGTTATGTTTCTTGATTGAGGGGAAAAAAGGACCATGTCAGTGAAGTCGAAAGAAGACTGTTGGTTTGATGTGCAGTGACTCTCTTTACTTTTCTGCTACTAATATGCTTCTGTCACTCTATTTATTTCCCCTTTCTTCTCAGGTGCTGCCAAGCTCTACGCTTATTGGATCGTGGTGAACTTTAGAGAGGCCTACAACATGTTTGCTGTCAACGGGATCCTCTTTAACCATGAGAGCCCGAGGAGAGGTGAGCTTACAGCATGCATACAGTACTCTTATTTTAAAGGCCCTATTATGCACATTTTCAGGTTTATATTTCTATTTGGTTTCTCTACTTTGACATTTTTACATGCTTTACTGTTTAGAAAGCTCTTTATTTTTCTCATACTGCTCTTTTTACCCTCTGTCTGAAACCAGAGACCAGTCTGCTCTGATTGGTTCATTTGTCAGCTCTGTTGTGATTGGCCCACCGCTTATAGATGTCCAGTCCCTTAGCCTACCATTTACAATTTGTTGGAGCGCTAGCCAATAGAAACGCGAGTATTGCGTAGTGATGTAACTTGTTTATGGAAGTAAACAAAGGAGTCTAATATAGGCGTTTCAGGCAGCGGGGGAGTGTACACAGGATTTGGCTTGGGTATAATCATTTGACCACAACACGAATAAAGTTTGAAAAAGGCTAACCCTAACCCTAAAAATCTTAATATACACCTTATGTTTAGGGAAAAGAAAAGCATATACAATCATAAAAGTCACTTAACATCATCACATTAAGCATTTACAAAGCATAAAGTAAACGATCTATCAATGAAAACAGTAATCTCAGGATGCATGTTAATAATTTAGAAGTTAATAATCCCCTAAACTTTCGTGGTTTTTATAAGACGGGCTACTGATGAACTATATTGCCAGTAAGGAAGGACTATATATTATACAGGACACATTTTTGTAAAGTTTAAATTACATTGTGAAATATGACATCACTTAGCCTGCTCAACAGGCTGAACCTAGCATAAGCAGTAAAACAGAGGGTAAACTATTGTTGGGTCGTGTACAAGTATTAAATTACATGCTCTATATAAAGACATATTCCTTCAGCAGGTTTCTCTACTACTTGACACACACTCACACACATTCTGACACATAAAGAGTGTGTTGTGGTCACATTTTTAATATGTGCTCTGAGCCCCGAGGGTCGCAGGCGCTGGTTTAACCCGATTTACACGCCACCGCGACCCAAAATGAATACCACATGACTGAAACCCCCAGCGCTGCGCTCAGGTCAGACGCTCAGGTGTTTATGATTTATCCCCTAATGAAGGCCCCGGCCATGACCCCGGCCTAGGTCGGGGGTCAGCCAGTAAACCCTAATGGGTTACCTCAGATAGATAGGTGTGGGAACTGGTGCAGTTTACAGCCAGCTCAGCAAAGATGGCGCGGTCACCCTTGAGGTCTTGTAATGGAGGAGTACTTGAGTCGGACTGGGAGTGATGTGTGATGCAGAAAAGAGTCCAAAGACCGCAATGGATAAGTAGCATTGTAACAATTTGTCAGTCAACAGAAAATGAATCCCAAACAATACAAATGATTGGTCAATTGCTCATTTATCAAGCAAAATTGACCTAATTGTCTGGTTCCAAATTGTTTAATTTGCTGATTAGCCATCTTTGTGAATATATTATCTTTGAAATAATGTCTTTTGACAATTGGTCTAACCAAAATAAGATTTGGACAGTGTCACTTTGTATTATACACTTTGTTCAATCACTTTATAGACTTAATAATAAATTGGTTGATCAAAAAAGTACTCTTAGTGTTATTGATCATGAAAATAATCATTAGTTGCTGTTCTATAGATAACCAGACGGATTGAGTGACCTTGTGAAACTGTGAAATCAGAGATGCTTTTGACTTTTTAACACACTAGCCTTATAAGGGCACAGTTCTCTGCTCGCTCGATAGCAAGTCCTTAGCCTTTTCATCTTTGGGCAGCTTTCCATTCTGTCTACGCTCACTCCTCTCTTTCTTCGCCCTCCTTCTTCCACAGTCAGCTTTTCTGCAGCAGGCCTTTGGGTTTACTTCTGCCACTTCTATTCTCAGAGTTACGGCTGTTGTTGCTCATAAAACAGGAACGCTGTGCTGTGATGTGGCCAGATGTCCCACTGCTGCCTTGCACAACCCAGTGTGGCGCTTGTGTTGGCTGGATTGGCCCGTGTTTATCCAGGCCCCCGGGGTCCGCCATGACCCTGCCTCTGCCCCACTCAGGGGGCATTTGGCCATGTACTCCGTCACCCACAGGAGAGCTTTAGATGAGAGCAATTGTACGCTTGTACTGTACATTGTGTAAGTGTCAGGTTTTGCTGTACATTAGACAGTGTGAGATATATTACTACTGTACTCGTACTGTACAGAGAGAATACTGGTTCAACTGCCAAACATACCTTTAATCTAAATGACGGCACCATTGGTTTTGAGTTAACAGCTATTGTAAAATAGAGCTGTTTCATGTTATACTTATTTGAACCATTTATGTGTTACCTTCACACCAGAAAAGGGTACAAATTGAAAGGGAGGCATATTATTTTCATTGTTGATATAATCAAGCAGTTGTTTTTGCGATGATAGTGGGACACACTAAATGTATTTCTGGTATTTTTTTTATTACTGAATAACAGTTAGAGAACACATTTAAGAAGTCAGCAGTTCAAACTCTCCCAACACAATAACGCTAAACCAAAAACTCCTCGAATACATCTTTAAATTCACACTTCTTCTTTGATTTCAAAGCGAATTGGGTTACATTTCTCCCCAAAATAAAAAAGCAATGACATCACTTGAGAAACTTACTGCTGATCAGCAGAGGCAGAGGTAATGTTGTCCCTGTGTGTTAATGCATTTGTAAAAGAGAGATATCGGTTTTTTTTATTATTAACTGTGTACTGCCCCTTCCATTTGCTTTTGAGCATCTCTTGTACCTCTGAATAATAAGTCATATATAGGGGATAGGTCCATGATGTCAGTTGTCTTGACTCAACCACTTTCCCATCCATACTTCCCACACATAGGAAAAGCTGTGAAGTCATTGTCCCAGGGTGACTTGGCTGTGTTGGACTGTGTTTGGGAAACAAATAGATGTTTGCCTCATTGAGGGAGTTTTCCATTTAAGAAAAAACTCACTGGGTCCTGCTCTTAAGTGTCTGCCAAAGTGACCTTCCAGTGGCCAATCATGTCCATGGCGCACTGTAACGTGGCATGGTGTGTCACATAGGACGGTCTGGTGGCAGCTGGGAATGTTTAAAGAGGAATGAGTAAACCTTTACACCAGTTTCCTCTCAGACTTACTGTCTTTCTAGGATGACTTAATCCCAGCAGCAATGCACTTCTGGTTTCTCTTACACTTCTCGTACACACCTGACTGTTCAACCAATAAACAGTCAATCTCCATTGTTCTACGCGAAAGGAAATCGGAATCGGGCGGTTGTGATGAAAACATATCCCGGTGGAAATCCAGCGTAAAGCAAAGCAAACAGAAGCCTACATCTGCTGGCCGATTCACACCGCAGCTAGCTCCTTTCTGCTTAACCTAGTTGTTAGCCATAACAAACAGCCCTCACACTGACTCTGAAGAGGGGGATTAGCAATAGCATGGGTGCTAAATAGACTCCATATTGCTTTGACATATGAGACAGTGCAGTAATCCACAGTCTCTTGGCAAGAGTGATCAGCAGTGAAACCTGTGCAAATAACCAGTTCATATATTTATTTGGTCGTCACATTCAACAAACATACAGCACCTGAAAGTCCCCCAACAATCCAATTGTCACCTAGGAAACCCAAGTATCATTTATATTTTTTAACAGTGTGTTGATAGTAAGTCATTGCAGTAAATCAGCAGAGTAACAGGTTTTGTGTATCTACTGTTGCTGCTACTGACCAGCTCCAGTTGTAGGCTAATCCCATGGTTTATTTGGGGAAGTCCCATCCATCTCTCCACCCTGAGAGCTCTGTGGTTCACGCTTGGCAGTATAGAATAATATACTGTTATGTTAGGAGAGAAGACCGGTTAGCATTGGGGAAGTTAGAATAGCACTGCCAAAGTCAATGCTGCCCCCTCAAATACTCACACGTACAGCCGTTGAGCCGCTACATGCCTTAGCTTCATCTTTCTGCTTTCGTTGAAGTTGAGCCCAAAAGGTCAGATCGCATGATAGATTTGTAAGGGATATGTTTTCCATTTATTGGAGAGATTATTTACGAAGGAAATCTTCAAATAGGAATGACTCGGTCAGAGGGCGTCGAGGGGATTTGAAAGCATCTTGGACGAAGGAACTCTGCTTTGATCGGGCACGTTTTTTGGTTTGTCGGGTGTTGATGAGAAAAAGGCTGGGTGAGAGCAGTCTAAACCTCAGCTGAACTGTGGCCAGGTGAAGAGCAGAGCTGACAATGGAGTTATCGCCTCCACCCCTTCCCTCCACTTTGTGTCACCTGGCCAAAAAAGGTGTTCACTCCGCCTCATCTTACCTTGGTTTCTGACATGTTCCGTGGTCGTTTAGGTTTCTATCTTCACTCATCCCACTGCCGCCCTCAGATCTGTTTGTTGTCCCAGATCACCATGGTATCCAAGAATCTTGTTGACTGAGTGCTTGCTTGCTCAACTTTTGCAAGTACTTGTTAGAAGCTGATCGAACCCCAAAATGTTGCCCTACAATCATTTAGTTGATCTACCGGAATTTATGAAACACAATTACATCTTTGTTTTTGTTACTATTAGGGTGAAACTTTCTGTCTCGCTCTCGGTTCTGCAATGCGGAGGTGGTGCTGTCAGTGCTCCAGCTCAAGAAAAACATGTATCATCTACTCCCTTGTCAATCTCCATACCTTCCCTTTCTTTCCCCACATATTTGCACATCCCTGTACTGTCTATCCATTTAGTTTTATCTCACCCCAACAAAAACAAATCTTTGTCTTCGCAATCCTCCAGCCCCATTCCTACCCTCCTTGCATCACATTTTTTCTCCATGTACCCTCCCTGTCAGCTGAGTCATCCCAGAACGAGTGCAACAGTCTGTCAGGTGTGAATAGACGCTGTGTTGGCGGAGCTGAGCTTATGACCTCTTTTGGATGTAACGCAAATATTCTCCCTTCGTCGAGGCTTCAGAAATCAATCAGAATGCCAATTGTGCAATAATGGTGATGGCAGACACTGACATGTCTTTGGCCTTGGTGGAATTTGGCCAATCCTCGACCAGGAGAATATTCCTCCTGCAGAATCACTCAGTGCTCCTGCAAGTCAGGTATTTTGTTATTAAATCGGTACCGATAAAGGAGATGGGTATAAGATGAGGTCACAATCATTTTGATGTAAACACGCATACAACGTCAACCTCAAACCCTGAAAAGCGTTGGGGTGGAGATGGAAATTAAAGGTTGCATTTTCCACTACAAATCTACCACAAAGCCTTTCACTCCCCTAGGCAGTTGGTCGAAGACAGAGAAGGATTATGGGATTCACAGTTCTGGTTAAATTCCAAAACAGGTGTGTGTTGAGGTAACCAAAGGGTTTTTGTTACAGCGCTGTGGCAATCAAATCAAATGTTGGCAATTTCTTTTGAACCAGCTTGTGGCCAGTTCAGACAAGCTCACAACAGAATATCTGAACTCTGAAAAAGTTGTAATGAATGTTTATGTTTATGAAGAGTAGGCGATCCAAGCTCTATTTTTAGAATGTGGCTCATTAAAGCAGTCTGTCATTCCACATTTTTATGAAGAAAATTGAGAAATCACTAAAATCCTGCAAATCAACTCGGAGCGTTGTAAAGAAAAACATACCCCAGGTCTAAAGTTGGAAGAGGAGACTGGGCTTATGAGAAGTAGATGTTCAAGCTGTGTAAGTGTGACATATAAAATCAACTCGATACAGTCAAGACTTGACTTGGCTAAATGTTTCAGTTTTTCCAGAGCTGATGTGCCATGTTGCTGAGTCATGGTACAGTATGTCTTCAAAATAAATTTAACAGGAGAGGGATTTGAATAAATCACACTGCGGCTGAATCTCAATTAGCATTGCACATAAATACACTTGCAGACGGTAATATAGATGAGTGTGAGTCAGACATCTTGAGGTCTGAGTTCATACAGTAAGGGCTGGGCCGTCACACAGTGTGAAGGCAGACTTCATAAGTCACCTTTCTTTAGCAGCATGGTTTTAACAATACAATCTATTGAGTAACCAACGCAAGTCTGGCCAAAATCCCCTCAAACCTACAATCCCCACTGTGACTCCTCCAGACCCGAGCCCCCAGCTGACAGCTCCAGTCCCCATCCTGTCTGGGCCCACATGGCCTGGCTCTGGATGGGATACATCTCCGCACATTTCCCCTCTTTCACCCTCCCCCTTCTCTCTTTACCCCCCCAAATCTTAGTCCAGCTGTGCCAAAGAAGCCAGTGTGTTACGCTTTTCCTGTCGCTCCTCTGGCCAAGAAATGAAAAAACGAATGACGTAAAAAAAAAAAGAACGAAATGAAACGGTTAAGTGGGAAAGAGAAAGAGGGGGAGAAAAATAGATTGAGTGTCCATTTCTGGCATGGGTTTTGCTGTCTGCTCAGTTTTCACGGCCCATGGTTTTATTAGACTTTCCGCCGGGGTATGGGCAAGGTTAAACGGCCACCGCTGCCCCGTTTGGGCTCGAAACCTCCTGTCAGCCTGCCTCCAACCCCTCCTCCTGGCTGTCCTGCGGTGCCGCTGCCAGTAAAGGAAACACATTAACACCCGGGCCAGTAACAGAGCAGGCTTTGTCCAGAGCAAGGCAGGCTGGTCCATTAGGCCCACGCTCTGGTCCACACCGCACCAATTAGGGCAGGCAGGGAGCAGAGCCACTCAAAACAGAGGTGTGAGCTTTACAAGGAAACTACAGGTGTGCTTGGGGGGAAATAATGGACTTTATTACTGATTGGGTGTGCTGTACTCCACTGTATCCCTCTGCCACCTTTTTAAGGGCCAACATGGCTCTGCACAGTTTTGACAACCTGTGTTTAACCTGCAAACTTGAGTTTCCCTTGGATATTGGATCAAATCAAACCCCTGCCTTGCAATTTACTGTAGTTACCGATCTGGGCTCTTGTTACATTTAATTGCCCTACTGGGTCCTAATAAAGAATATATTTTACAGAGCCGCAATTAATGACAATTGGATAATTGTTCAATCTTTGATTATTTATGCTGAATCTTTAAAGCCAACAATGTAAAAAACGATATTAAGAAGGAACTGTCTATCAGAAGTTTTCAAACCAAATGTGTCGGTATAAAATAACGTGCTTTCAGACTAACAATCCAAAAATCCCAAATAATGTATTTACAATGACAGAAATCAAATCGTATGGAACACAAAAGAGAACAAACATTGCTTATTGCAAAAATAATGTGTTCAATAGAACTTACTCATGTTACAATTTGTATAGTAGTAAGCACTGACATTTAAGAGGATAACACATCACATGTTGAGATCTTTGCCTGTTTGAAGAGATAATTAGTTAATAATTAGCATTCCAGCAAGCGGAAGCTGAGCAAACTGAGACTTTAAGTCCTAAAAATACTTTTTTTTCAACTCCCATACTGCAACATAGCATTTTATCATTGGACTTCCCTAACATGGTTGAAATCCCCTTGTTAAAACTGCTATCCCTAAGATTGTAATGCAGACTCTCATTAAAAAGTCCAAGTGAAAACAACCCTGGGTAAGGGGGTGTTTTCTTGAGAAAGTTGTTCCACAGAAAACATTATTCAACTTTTTGGCTCAGTATAGTATTCATTCTACATGACTAGGTAACTGATGTTAATGTGTAAAATCTGTGGAGTTCCCCTTTTAAAATAGTTGTCGATTAAGTGTCTGTCCATTGACCAATTGCTTAATTGTTTGAGCACCCGTTATATGAAGTGCGAATGATGTTAGTTCATGTGTGTGCAGCTGCATGGCATGGTGTATTGCTGCCTGAGTGAAAGGCTGACAATCACGGATGTGTCAGTGGCAGATGAATAATTGTTGCTTAACATTTGACTGTAGTTAGCAAGAGCAATGGTGCCTGCCCGAACAAATGACCTGCCAGGTTAGAGAAAGGGCCCGAGGGCCAGATGAGACAATAATGCAAATACAGGACAAGTCTGACATCGGAGGGGGTTTCCATCCACAATTCATCTACGCTTCATAAACACATGCTATTTCCTAATTAAGGTGTCAACAGTTCTAATTCACTGTTTTCTGAATAATAGAACGATTTGGAGATTGGACTTACCCACCTAGAGCCTTATTTAAACTTTATTAACTCCAACTCAACATGGCCACAAAGCAGCGTTGACAAGAGGGCCATGTGCCCTGCTACCAACACACAACATGCTGTGTTTTCTCAAATAAGCGTGTCTAACCTTCTCTGCTCTGTTTTAGCTCAGTCTGCCCAGGGCTGTCGCTTTCCTATGAAATAATTACTACAAATGTGGTGCATTTGCATGATTGGGTTCATGGGATTTTCCTGTGTCTAAATGGAGGCTCTGCTCCATGTCAGGGCAACAGTGATACAGTGTCGAGACAGAGCCGGGGTATTATGGACTGGATTGGCGCAGAGCTAAAAGGCAACATTCATCTAAGGCACGATGAGTTTGAAAAAAACATGTATGAGCTCCTAAGAGGTCTCAAAAAAGGTTCACGCAAGGTTGTGGGAGATTTATATACAGCAGAGATGTTGTTTGGGATAAAAATAGCCAACTCTTTGATGAAAGCTTCAAGCTTTCCTTTGAAATGACATATTCCCACATATCTGCCATTTTGAACACAAGGCAGAAGACCCTAGCCAGGGATAAGCCCCTCAAGCTATAATAAGCGGTTTCAACTAAGACAGTGGCAGTATTAGACATGACACCCTGATATTTAGTGTTGATTTCCACCAGCTTAATATGTGTTTGGTTTGGAGAACTGATCCATTTATTCGCAGGCCTGTTGCAAGAAAAGAGAACATAACACCGGCCCTAAGTGTCCCGCCAAAACACCCAAAAGCTTCTCGAAACCTTCTAGTGCCACAGAAATATTCATTACAGGCTCATTTCTTTTCCAATAGACAATATCGCCACGTGGAACACCGCTAGGCGATCTGGCAGATGAAGTCTGTCAATTCAGTGATTCTGGACTGGACCCTGCTCCGGCTGAGCCAGGGTGGTCCTGTTTGGTTGTCATTTTTCTTTGGCACTTCCATGTTGCTTTTTTTGGTGTAGACCGACTGATGCTCTGAGGTTTATCTTGGCGTCCAGCCCAGATTTAACACTGAAACAGTGAATTACAGAGGAAAATGAGAGAGAAGGAATCTAAAAGGATCTAGTGGCTGTAATGTGAGGTGGTAAAGAATTGATTTGACTCTGGCTAAAGAGGAGTTGGAGCAGTAGCGGTTTGGACATCTCTCTATGTGTGCGTGTGGTGAAAGAGTTAGTGATCTCCTAACTCCATCTTCCATGCAAAGACCTCATTTTCACTTATCTGCTCTTTGTCTCTGTGTTTGTATGTGTTGGATCGAGATAAACCTCTGTTATATTTATATCCCGTGTAAACTGTGATTGAATTCAGAAGATGCTAACATAGCATTTTTAATGTATGTGTTTCAGGTTCAAACTTTGTGACGCGTAAGATCAGCCGTTCTGTGGCAAAGATTCACCTCGGCCAACTGGAGTGCTTCTGCCTGGGCAACCTGGACTCCAAGAGGGACTGGGGCCACGCCAAAGACTATGTGGAGGTAAAACACACACGATCATAACCGCACACCAGCCTAAAGAAATAGACAGACCATGAGTGCACCGCTTCAGGGTTGAACAGGGTTCAAATGTGAACATAGCATTAACAGGGCATGTTTTCCCAGATCGTTTGAGGCCGAAATATGCGATCTGCATGAAGCCTCCTATGATTCTCTGCCAAAAAAGAAACAGATAGAGAAAGAAAGGGGGAGCGAGAGAAGAAAAGAGAGGGCTTCATGCTGTGAGGCCACGGACTGCACTCTGGTTTCCCACAACTCACCCATGTCCCAGATCCCTTCAGGCCCCCATCATCTTTTACCCCGAACGCCCGCAGAAAAAAGAAAGATATTAAAGGGAACGCCGCGTCCTGGGGACGATGACAGAAATATAGTGTTTGTGTTAACGTAATGGTGCCAGCAGCAAGCAGGGAATGGAGTGTGGAGATGAAACGAAACAGTGGGGTCGCAACGTCCAGGAGCAGACGGAGCTGTGTTTCTGAATGTGTGTAGGGAAGCGCACATTCCTATGTGTGTGTGATACGTTAAGGTTTGAACACGTGTGTGTGGCTGTTGAGATGAAAGACTCGACGGGGTTGCCATGTCTGACAGCAGACCCCTCACAGTTGACCGTGTTTTTATTAGGAGGTGATGGTGGCAGGGGTGGTGGGGGGCGCTCTTTGAGATGGGAGCAGGGGTGAGAAGGTTACGGCGGAGAACTTGGGTTTAACTGCAGATCGCAGTGTGGGGTCTCTGCGTCAGTGCAGGGCGGTGGTGGATCACGCCGTGAAGGCGGGTCACAGAGGCGTCAGCGAAGCAGTCACTGCCTGATATGGGAAGACCTCAGATCAATCATACCCGATCCTAACCAAAATGAATAATATTTGCCTCGTGGTTGGAAGTCAGACTTGAATTGTATTCACTAAAATGGGACCACAATAAGTCTGTTGTTTTTGAAAAAGAATCGCTTTGTGGAATAATATTTTGTAGTCCAACAAATGGACAAAATAAAGGATGATGCACTATATGTCGTAATATATGAAGGTCAACCAAACAGGCCACCACTTCTAAGTTGACTAACCGAGAAACATCAATGAAAAGTTGTTGAGATTCAAATTCCCAGTAAAGGCATGGCTCACCCACCTGAGATGATAATGTGTCTGTAGGATTTTACTTATTGAACGTACTAAAATGATTTTACAAGTGAAAAAAAAAGAGACCCTAGAGTTTTAAGTTGTGAGAGTCTGAGCTGTCCCACATGGCAATCCGTTGCTACAGTAAATGCCTGTACAGTATTGGCTGTTTGTGGTAAGTGGCAAATTGACTTTGTATAGTGCTTTTCCAGCCTTCGGATTAGGGAATACCCTACAATGAGTGCACATCATTTGAAGGCCTGTAGCAACCAAGCTTTTTCTTTGATTAAAAAGAAACAACAAATCACGAGAATGAATGAAACTGAAACTATCAATATATACCGTACTGCTGCCTTTACTTTCCCTCTAGCGTCTCTCTCCTCCATACCTGCCAGTAGGCTACTAGTAAGCGTAAAATAGTAATGATGTTTGTTTTGAGAAATATTGAGGTTGTCATAAAATCAACATTCAAACTGTATATTTACAGTTAGTAATAAACAACTTCCAGTGGCTCTGCCCACTTGGCTACTATGTTTGTAAGTCTGGTTGTTTGGTCACATTCAGCATCCGGTTATATTTGTCTGACTGACCAATTTTGTACTTACATGTTGTGTGAGCAACCCTGTTGCCTGTTTTCCGTATTTATGTGTGTGTGTGCACCCGCCTGTCCTGGGCACCCTGGCTTGAGACGCCCCAGGTTTCCTGTGGGAATGGCAGACATTCCAGTTCTGGTGAATCAGGCACCTCCTCGCTGTGCGTCTCCAGTTTCGTAAGAGCGGATTTCGGGGAAGCCAAACAGAAGCCCTAGGTGCTGAGGGGAACTGATTTGGAAGAAGGGGGAGAAGATGAAGGCAGGAGGGAAACAGACGCGTGTTTGTGGGAAGTTTGTACATTATGCATAAATGAACCATCCCTCTCGCTGAAAGTGGACCCCACCCTGCAGACCATCAAAGGCCACGACTGTCACCACCACCCTCTCCCTGCGTCTCACTTCCAAATATCCGTCCGGCCAGCGTCAGCACTGTGTTACCATGGCGAAACCAAACAACTTGCAATTTGTAAACAGAACCATGTGTGTCTGCTTTAGGCTGACAACTGCTTTTCCTCCCTGCCTCCCTCTCTCCCGTTCCCTCTCCTCACCCCACCCAGGACAGGGAAATTGCTTGTAATTGACTGTGGATGGATTGCGGGTGGCAGGAGGGGCGTGCTGTGTGTCTGCTCTAACGACGTCTGAAGGCGTGCGGCTGGCTGGGCATCGTCTCCGCCGGGTATCAGGTGTCTGAGACCTGAAGCTGCCCGGCTACTCTCAATGGAGTCCTTCTGTTATTATGTTATTATGGAATAGATGCCGGGAGCTTAGGTATAAAATCGTCAGATAAATTAATTTAAATCCCCCTGATCTCAATTTCCTTAAAAGGGGTTCAGCTCTGGACTTTTCCAGTTGTGTGATGGGGTTTGAGACATTTGGCTGTCCCTTTTTTCCCTTTTGACTGCGGTTTTCTGGGATTTGGTGATACAGAAAATATTTCTGAATCAAGCCATGTCAAGGAGAATCCCGCAATCACTCGCTAGAGACTATCAGAGCAGATAGAGATGTAGGAGTAGTCCTCCCTCCTCCATCCTCTTAGCCTGTGCCCTCGCCCTGAGTTGGCCAATGGTGGGCACAACTATTTCGACCCCCCTTCCCACACACCACCTCCTCCTCCTATGTCTGCAGAGAGCCATTTCCTGTGCAGAGAACAGTGTTGGCTGGGAGGGAGCAGGAGCAGACGTCGGCCTGGTGTTTTTGGCCCTCTCTCTTCCCCCAGGCTCCATCCTGCCTCACTTTCTCTCTGTCTATTTGTTTCCTCTCCCGCCTTTTTTATAATTCTCCATGTTCCTCCCACCACCACTTAACCTTTTACTCTTTGATGCCTCCTGAAATGCTGCGTCACTCGACCAGTGCTCCACCAAACTGTCGCTCCTTGTCGTCCGGCCATCGCTGGGTGAGCAGTTACCACCCAGTTACCAGATATTTCCCTCTGACATCTAATAACCGGCTCTTATTTTTCCCCTGACTGGAATTGGTGTCGCTGTTCTCGCTTGCTGGAAGGGTAGAAACTGTTGCCAGATGAGATGTGGCTGACCCGCTGACACACGGTCCTGACAACTCGCTCTCGTCTTGTTCTCATATTTATTTTCAAAATATAATTACCTGTGAAATTCTGGGCATTAGTAGGTGTCTCCTTGCAGTCTTCAGGTGTGTGTGTGGCGGTAGCTGTCTGATTCCTGGCATTGTCTGAAGGCAGCGAGGTGACAGGACAGCCCTGATGGTATAATTTTTCACCCCCTTTATTTTTCTTATCCCCTTTTTTTTCTCTTTACTGCTGCAGCTGCCTCTCTGTGCAGTAATGGTTACAGATGAGGCTAATTAGCCAATCAGAGCGCAGATCAGGGCCAATCACAGATGATTGATGAGAGCGCCGGGCCATTCATCACATGCTTTTGGCCTTGGAGGTGACAGCAGGGGCAGGCTTCAGGACTTGGTACAGTACACTAGACATGAACGTCTACATTTAGAACAGACTGCATAAGCGCTGCAAAAGGGCCTCACTATCTTTCTTAGTCCTTTTGACAAGGTGTTAGACGTGGTGGATGCTGGATAAAAGGCTGTGGAGATCAGACGTTTTCTTTTAATGGGATTGTTTTAGCTTGACAAACTTGATGTTTTTACATGGCTCTTTGCTAGTTAAAAAAAAAACTGATCAGAGATTTGAAGTTCGTGTGAACTTAACAACTCCAAGTCTTCTACTTATTTGGAAATAAGGGGAAAAAAGCAGAGCTGATATAACTTGCTAAAAAGGCCCTAACTAAAGATCGTGTCAATTATATTGAAAAAGGAATACCCACTTAATATATAAAATGTGAGAAAGAGAACATTTTCTGGAACACTTGTTAGCCAAGTGGTTGGAGTAGAGGCCATATAACTCCAACATCAGAGGTTCAATTCTAGCATAAGGACCTGTTTTGCGTGCCATACCCCTCTCTCCCTCTCTCCCTCTTCCCCATTTCAGAATCAGAAATCCTTTATTTGTCCTGCAACAGGGAATGCATGGTATTACAACAGCAAACGTACAGTGCAGATAAATGTAAAAGGAGTAGACTTACATATAATATATTAAAAAGTAGGAACATGTTATTAATAAGAGAACACAATAAGTAAAAACGTATAATTTCTTCACTGACCTATATCTCCGGCAAATGAATAGACATGGTGACTTCAAATATCTTGTTTGGTCAGACCAACCATCTAAAACCAAAGGTATTCAGTTTATAACTGTTGAAGATCCTGGGAACCAGCATATCTATACATTGGAGTGACTGGACTAGAGAACTTGCCTAAACCAAACAAATTTGATTATGAAAATTGTGACTAATTATTGCAGCTCCAATTAAGAAATTCAAAAGCTACTGAACTAACAACGCACAACATAGGCTAAATATGTTTAACTGATCACACTTATACAACAGATATCATGTCAGCTGGGGATTGTATGCGCGTAGTTTGGGCTCTTGTTTTACAGTTGGGAAAAGCTACCTTGTATACCATTTGATTTCACCAATAATGGTGAGCTATCTTTTGCATTTTGGCATTGAAACTTGTGAAGGCACTTCGCTGTGTTGTAGAGGGCGCTGTACCCTTGCTTGGTGTGTGTGTGTGCGTGCATGTGTGTGTGTCACATGCCTGGATCTTTACAGTGGTTCAGGGAGCTGATAAATACCTTTGACCGCTCTGTAAGGTTTAATAAACACAGCTGGAGTAGTAAAGAGCTAAAATGGGAGCTAATAGGGTAGAGGAGAGGGCGCATTAGGTTTCATCACCAAAAACATCCT